GTGTGTGTGTGTGTGTGTGTGTGTGTGTGTGTGTGTGTGTGTGTGTGTGTGTGTGTGTGTGTCGTGTCCAGTCAGCTGCTGTCTGCCGTCCTGCTGCTGCTGCGTCTGTGGGAAAGCGGCACCAGAGAGATGGACAACGAGCGCTCCACCCAGGGAACCAGCGCCCCTCTGCTGCCCCTCCTGCAGCGCTTCCACAACATCCACAGCAGCAAGGAGGAGCCCATTCCTGAGGAGGAGGCTGAGGTGAGGCTGCTCTTCTAGTTTGAAACCAGATGAATATGAGAGATGGAACAAACTGAAGATATGACGATGAGCTCGTTGTGTTTCTTGTGAACGCTCTTCTTAAAGCTAACGAGCACTTCTTTGGTCGATTGCTGTGGTTTCCAGATCCTCACGGCCCAGATGAGTCCCAACGAGAGCTTCCTGCGCTACCTGACCTTACCTCAGGACAACGAGCTGGCCATCGACCTCCGGCAGACGGCCGTGGTGATCATGGCTCACCTGGACCGCTTGGCTTCTCCCTGCAGCCCCCCCCACTGCAACTCCCCCACATCGCACAAGGTGACGACTCTTTATCGCCTGGAGACTAGTGGTTGTCTTATTGCCGGAGGTCCATGATGATGATCCCAACCTTAACTAATGATGTATCCATTTTATTGTCTTTGTGTTGCAGGGAACCCTGCAGGAGGTGATAGCCTGGGGCCTGTTGGGCTGGAAGCTCTACGCCAACGTTAACGGGCCCATCCATTGTAAAGGCCTGTCGAGCCTCGGAGTTGCTCAGATCGTCTGCTCAGAGAAGGGCTTCCTCATCCTGTCCAGCAGCGGTGCTGTTTACACCCAGAACTACAAGAGCACAACCCTGGTCAGTTCTGTCGCACAGGTGGTTTCTGTTTATTAACGTACCTTCATCTAACGAAGCGGCTGTATTCAGAACATCCCAAAAGCTGCTGCTTTCACCTCCGTGTCCGCTGCAGATTGAGTGTCTGTGTCGTGTTGTTTTAGGCTCCGATGCTGATCCACGGTCTGAGCTCCAGAAAGGTGGTGAAGCTCGCGGCTCATCCCGACGGGCAGCACTACTTGGCCCTGTCGTCCAATGGGGAGGTGTTCTCGTGGGGCTGCGGTGACGGAGGACGCCTTGGACACGGAGACACCACGTAAGCAAATAAGAGAGGAAGTCAGCTGATGTTTGACTTCCACAAGAGTCTCCTCACACACCTACTTAAGTCCACACTTTTACACCTTCTTCCAATATGAAATATGAAGCGATATGACAGCTCTCCAGACTTCTGCATTTGTGTCTTTCACAAAAGCTGCAGATGGTTTTAGAATTTAGTAGAATTAAATTATTGATCAAACAGATTCAAGGCCCAACGATACGATGCTGACGTCACAATACGATAATATTGTGATTGTAAACATTTTGCGAGATCAAATATTGTGAATTAAAAGATATTTTAATTTGCAAATTATGCAGTTTGTCAACATTTGTTTTATCCAACCGGTTCATCTCACATTAGTCTGTTTCTAATCGGCCTAAAGCCAATAAACCTCTTCATTATTATATTTAATGCTGTATAATAATGTTCTTAGAGCTCGTGTTAGGAAGTTAAACAGCTCATAATTCATCTCTAATATCTATTTTATATTCATGTGAAAACATCTCCTTCAAACTACTGGATTTATTCAAATTTATCACCAAAACTACATTTTACAGATGACTTGTGAACACATCATGATAACGTTATAATGTACCTTCAGCCAGTACTCTTGTTCACTGAGCAGAGCCTGAAGGCATCATCATGTAACTCAATGGAACCTCAGTACAGCTCTTCTTTGTACTTTCTAACAGCTGTTAATGTCAACACGTTATTTGCGTTATCAGAGAAGTGAGTAGATAATTATACATTATATTTTAGGCCACAATCTAAGACATTGGGTTATAAACATTATGCTGTAACACCTAAAACGACCTCCACAGTTTTCAATTCCTGCAAGAATGAAAACATTAATCTGCATGTTCACTTTATTTTTAGGTATCTGGAAGAGCCCACGATGATCACAGCCTTCAATGGGAAACAGACAGGAAAGCATGTGGCGCACATTGCCTGTGGGAGCACTTACAGCGCCGCCATCACCGCCGACGGGGAGCTCTACACGTGGGGCAGAGGGAACTACGGGCGGCTGGGTCACGGTGAGCTCCGTCTGCATCGACCTCACTGGAGGACACGGCCTCCGCTCGGATAAACACAATCTCTTGTCTTGCTTTCACCACTGAGAGAAAGCGTTGTCCTCCCGCTTCTAGGCTCCAGCGAGGACCAGACGACACCCATGCTAGTGACGGCACTGAAGGGACTGAAGGTGATGGACGTGGCGTGTGGAAGTGGTGATGCTCAGACGCTTTCTGTGACAGAGAACGGTGAGAACAAGAGAGCTTTAGGCCCAAATCTCAATCTCCACACTCAGACGTTGAGGGGCGTTCACGTAAAATTCGTAAGAGATTAAGTTCTGTCCTGATGTCAAAATCATTGAGGTTTTGAGTCTCTCGCAGACCTTTTGAGCCCTTGATGAAAACTTTCTGTAAGTCAGCATTTAGGCAGACTTTGCCTCCGAGAATTACCCACAATTCATAGCAACGTGACTATAAAGTTTACCAGTGGAAACCAGAGACGTAAAGAAACAAAAAGTTAAGAGAGAGGACGGCACACGTGAGGAATGAAAGCACACACCTGGTTTATTCATCAAACGTTTGACAATGACCTCTTGCATTTTGTGAGGAACCTGGAAAAGACGTAAAAAATATCAAATGTATACAATATACATAACAACAATGGTACCATTTACCAGCTGACATCAGTTAGTTCAAAGGGATTGGACCTCACTGTTGTGGTTCTCCATCTCTCTGTGTGTGTCCTCAGGTCAGGTTTGGTCCTGGGGGGACGGGGACTACGGTAAACTGGGCCGAGGAGGCAGCGATGGCTGCAAGACACCCAAGCTGGTGGAGAAGCTGCAGGACCTGGACATCGTGAAGGTGTGCTGCGGCAGCCAGTTCTCTGTGGCCCTCACCAAAGACGGGCAGGTATACACCTGGGGGAAGGGAGACAATCAGCGCCTCGGTCACGGCACCGACGAGCATGTTCGATACCCGAAGCTGCTCGACAGTCTAGAGGGTGAGTTGGCTGTTCTAAACAATAACTTATGGTAATAAAGGTAAGTTAATAGGTAATAAGGCCCTTATGCGTCCTTATAAGATGCTTATTTACCATTATTGTGTGTCAAAAGGACGAAGTGTTAATAATAGCATCTTTCTGCATAATAAAGGATTAATCATCGTTAATAAGGCATTGTTCTCCCTTTTATAAAGCCCATAAGGCTTTTATTTTTAACAGTTATATTTTATAATCTAACAATAAATGTTTATGATGCTGCTATTAACACATCACATACTTATGTTAATAAACATGTTATAAGGACCTTATTACCTGTTGACTAACACTTATTACAAGGACCTTAGCATGAATCTTTCAGAATAAGACTGATGTGTGTCTGTTGTGTTTGCGAGCAGGAAAGAAAGTGGTGGACGTGGCGGTGGGCTCGACTCACTGCCTCGCCCTCACAGACGACGGGGAGGTGCACAGCTGGGGAAGCAACGACAAGCTGCAGCACTTTGACACGCTGTTCTCCAACAAGAAGCAGCCCAAGGCTCTGCCCGGACTCAACGCCAAGCACATCGTGGGGATCTCCTGTGGCCCCGGACAGGTGATGCATTACTTTATTATTTTAGTTTTTATATTCTTTTAATGATGGAACCTGAAACAGAAGAAGAACAGAAGATGGAACATTTTAAAAAGGAAAAACAGGATTTCTAGACTAGAATAAATATGAAGACGTGTGTGTGCGACGTGCGTGTGTGTGCGACGTGTGTATATTCCTTGTTTTCTTGAACTCGAAACATGTTAACGCTTCCGTGTTTTGTGGTGATTGTCAGAGCTTCGCCTGGTCCTCGTGCTCCGAGTGGTCCGTCGGGCAGCGCGTTCCCTTTGTAGTGGACGTCTGCCCGGTGACCTTTGAGCAGCTGGACCTGCTGCTGCGACAGGTCAGCGACGGGATGGACGGCAGCTCGGACTGGCCCCCCCCACAGGAGAAGGAGTGCATGGTGGTCGCCACGCTCAACCTGCTCCGGCTCCAGGTGGACCTCTCTTTTAAGCTTCGTTCATACATCGTAGTGTGAGCCTCTGTACAGAGCATTAGACGAACTGGTCATAATCTGCACATATACATATCTCTAAATCCTCCTCCTCCTTCTCCTCAGCTCCATGCAGCCATCAGTAACCAGGTGGATCCAGAGGAGCTGGGTCTGGGTCTGGGCAGCGTGCTGCTGAACAACCTCAAACAGACGGTGGTGGTTCTAGCGAGCAACGCCGGCGTGCTCAACTCTGTGCAAGCGGCCGCCCAAGCCGTCCTCCAAAGCGGCTGGTCGGTGCTGCTGCCCACCGCCGAGGAGCGGGCGAGGGCGTTGTCCTCCCTCCTGCCTAACGCTGGTGAGTGCTCATCGTCCACTAACACCGGTTTACACACACACTCAACAGTCCATTAACTCTGGCAGGAGGTGAATGAGCGGTTGGGACTGGAGAGGCTGAGGGTTTTATTGGCTTTGTTGTTTTTCTGCCAGCGTCTGGGAATGAGATGAGTGTGAGTCCTGGCCGTCGCTTCATGATCGACCTGCTGGTCAGCAGCTTGATGGCTGACGGAGGGTTGGAATCCGCTCTGAATGCAGCGATCACCGCAGAGATACAGGTCGGTGTGTTTGATGCATCGCTCCACTGTCGCACAATGTATTTGAAGTGAACCTCCGTTGGTTAGCCGATAGCGGTGCTGCTAACGTTACTAGCTCTCCTCCTGTTGGTTTAAACACTGATTGGTTGTTTACAATAGACATTAATGGTTAAAACCTTCTGCAGCCACGTCCCTGAACTCCTCTCACTGAATACTGGTGTTTCTTTTAACACGACAGGACATTGAAGCCAAGAAGGAGGCTCAGAAGGAGAAGGAGGTCGACGAGCAGGAGGCCAACGCGTCCACCTTGCAGCGGTGTCGCGCCATGCTGGACAAAGACCTCATCAACACCGGCATCTACGAGTCAGCGGGGAAGCAAAGTCTGCCTCTGGTGCAGCTTGTGCAGCAGCTGTTGAGGTACTCGATCTTTGTCCGAGTCGAGGTGTCTGCTAGCAGATTAAGACGCCTCTCACACTGAGTCGGTTCATAATGCTGGAGGATAGTAGCTGCAGGGAGAGGACTGTGTATTAAAATACAGACGGAGCAGGTCTTCCTATAGAGTTGAGAGAGAGCAGTAAAGCTTTGTTTGTACTCATGCTTAGCAGCGTAGCCTCAACGGATGGAGCTCTGAGCACGAACAAACATGTTTATCCTCAACATGATGTTTGTTGCAATATTCTCTGAAACTCCAGAACGTGAAGAATCAAAAAGACAACGAGTGAAACCGACTAAACTCCATAAACTAACCTCCACTACAGAGAGGAGGGATTATAATCATCTATAAACTCATATCTCATATTCATGAACTACTTCATCACCTTCATACAAACCCTGTAGAGAAACAAGTCCAGTATTAAATGTGTTCTAAAGAGACTAAGGTTGAATATAAACTATTTGATTTGACTGATAAATATTTACTCTCATGTAGATTTTAACACTTCCTGTTTCTAAAGCTATAAAACTAATTGAATTTAAAACCTTCAGACGTGTAAATAGTGTGTTAATCAGTGAATATTTATGACAGCCGCGTCTGAAGAGCTCTGATCGATTCAGAGATGCACGACGAGGCGCCGCGGCCGTTTGTGGAGCCTCGGTGCGCGACGTGATTACGTCATCTTCAGCTTCACTATGACGAGAATAAACTAAAGTTAATAACTGAACCTTTAAACGAACACTACAGAGACGGCTAAAAGCAAACCAAGCCTGCAACCACAGTGATCATTCTACCTCCTCTCTGGCTCTGTCGTTACATACTTGCTTTTTACTAATCTGCTTCTTTTGTAATGTATTGATGTATTTCATTGTTTTGCATAGTATTATGTTGTACTATAGTGTTGATACATTGTAATAACCTGGGACTACAGACGAGAATTGTGTCTCTTGTGAACTGTGGCACATTTCCATTGAATGGAAACTGAAATGTTGATTAACGGACTGTCCCTGGTAAGTAATAATAAAAACCTTCTAATCTCTGCAGGAACATCGCCTCCCAGACCATCGCGAGGCTGAAGGATGTCGCTCGGCGTATCTCCAACTATCTAGAGGCCGAGCACGTCAGCAAGGAGCGCTCTGCGTCTCTGGACCTGCTGCTGCGCTTCCAGAGGCTGCTGGTCAGCAAGCTGTACCTCGGGGTCAACGGCACGGAGAACGTCAACGGATACAGTGAGTCCACGCAGTCATCCCGATGAGAGGAGATACAAGTCATGAGATCAGAAAATCATACGACTCACGGATCAGATCAGCACAAGAGAACAAACTTAACTTATTTTATTGATCACTGATGATCCATATTAACAGACACAGATCATCTTTGTTGTTTGATTACAGCAGCTGGTCTACAAGGATCCACAAGATTATTATTTTTGTCACCGTCCCAAAAATCATTTCAATGCTCTGAAGTCTGTAAACCATCAAAAATACTAAATGTTTTGTTTTAGTAATTTAAGTTTTTTCTTCATAAAAACACACAATTCAAGATTACAGACGACATGTGAACGTTATAATGTACCTTCAGCCAGTACTCATGTTCACTGAGCAGAGCCTGAAGGCATCATAATGTAACTGAAGTGAACCTCCGTTGGTTAGCCGTTAGCGGTGCTGCTAACGTTACTAGCTCTCCTCCT